AGCACTTCAGTATCATGCACATGTACAGGTCCTCCTGCCTGGAGCACTTTGAAATGGTGACAAGAGCATGTTATGGTGATGCTCTGCAGCCAGAGGGCTGAAGAGCAGACATCCAAGCAAGCCTTGCAGGCCCCAGTTGCTGGAGGTTTCTGAGGACAAGAGAGTGCTCATTGACTGTCCACCTAAATGGATGGGTGGAGATGCACACAACTCCTCCCTCCCCATATAGCTTGTGTTAGGAGTGAGCTGCCAACTGAGGGCCTGGTAGCTTTAACTAATGAGCCCTCCTGAGAAGATGCCGTGAACCCAAGGAGCCCAGAATAGACCTCTATTCACTCCTAACCCTGCTGTTCATGCTCAAGTGATGTTGGGGAAGTCCTGACCATGCTGTACCACTTGAATAAGAGTCTTAAGCCTACCTATGCCTGTTCAGCATCCTATCCTAGCTCATGTGCTAGTGGATATGGGGTGGCATGCTTGCATGAATTGACATGACAGGCCCTGGAAAGGTGCCTGGTGAAGATGAGCTGCCTGGTCTGCATCTCCCATGCCTATGTGCCTGACAAGGACGATGCCATACAGAACACCGTGGAGGCCAGCCTGCTGCAGGACCACCTGCAGACTGTGTGCTGGCTCTTCTGAGTCAGGGATGTGAACAGTGACTAGTGGGAGTGCGTTGGTCACCACAAACTGGTTGAGCAAAGCCCATGACTTCAGGGGCTTTCACAACTCCAGCCTGGTGCCCCGATAATGCAGGAGATTTTCTCTATGGGCCTACCAGCATCAAGGTGAAGGTGTTACTAGAAACCTGGGCCTATTCAGTCTTTAGAGAGACAAGGCTGCAGCCTGTCTATGATTAGGACCTCTTTTGCAAGCTTGAGCACAGAATTAAGGGATGGTTACAATTATTTTGATGATTAAGCCTATTACACCAAATCAAGATAAAGTTTGATTACACCAGATTTGATTACACCAAATCAAGATACAGTTATACTTCTGTGATCCTCCAGTTCCCTTTTAGCAGGTAGGTTTGTTGTTACCTCCCAAGTAGGATGCAAGAGATGGATCAATAACCCAGCCTTCTATTGATTGCACCCCACAGGACAAGAATTAGCTCTCGTCTCAGTGCCTATCTAACTAATTACCACAGCACAATAAAGATCTTTATCTATACCAGCAGGGGAGTTACAGGAGTGTGGGGAAGGTGGGCATCTTGAATTTGCTGACGTCTCCAAAAATCCTCCTGTTTACACCCGATATTTATATCTAGTTTATCTGAATGAGCATCCTCTGATTAATTTTGTTCAAATTTCTTTGCTATAGTAAGACTTTTGGAATTGGATTGAACTGGTTTTTCTATGGATTTGCAGATGGCAGTTAGCTATGGGCTATGTCCTTGTGAATTTTAATTTTGGGAGAGAGGACTTTTATCTCTTTCCTGCTCCCTCTGGGAATGCTGCTTGCCCCTGTACTTTTACTTTGTTTCTTTTACTTTGGCTGACTAAGCTAGTTGTAACATTTGCAAAGGTTTACTCTGAAACAGTCATTGGGGCCCTCTGCTCTGACCACACTTCTGCAGCTTAGCATAACCCCTTTTAAAGTGGGCAAGGTTGACAACAGGTGGTTTTAGTGGTGGAACTCTCCTTTTCCTCTGTGTTCCTAGATTCATGCTCCCAGGGTACCTTTTAATTTCCTTCTTGCATTTCTTTTTCTATTCATAACATACATTTTGGCTCTACCATATTCAGTTAACAAAATCTTATTATTCTTTTAATAAGATTCTAGCTCAGTGCATACAATTTAATTCTTATCAAAAGGCTAAGTATCAGTTGTTATGTCTAAGTAGTTTCCAAAAAGCAGTTATTAATACTTGATCTAGCCTAATATTAGTGACCTTAAAACCGATTCTTATTCTGCTTTTCTAGGCTACTGCTTATGATTTAAGTGTAATCTTATGGATTATGGAGTAAATTTATGGATTTATTGATTGTAGACCAGTTTAAGCAGATAACATATTTACTCGCATACTACACACTAGGGTGGTGTGAGGCTTCGGATCTGGAGAAGCTTCGGGTGCTTTGGGGTCCAAAACAGCACATCCAGGTCGAAGTGCTGGTCTCCTTCGGCTTCCCGAAGCGCTTCGGAGCCACCCCGGAGATCTGGCCATAGGGTATAATGGGGAAACAATAACATAGCTGTAACTTTGTTTGTTTTTTGTCCGATTTGCATGACATTTTCAGGGGTGGTAGACTCTGCAGGGAGTGTGAAGCCTGCCAAGTTTCAAGAAGATCAGTGCAGGGGTTTGGGGGGAACTGCCCCTCAAGCTGTGGACAAGCAAAACTCGTGCCATGGGCGTCACTGCGTGTGTTAAGGTGCAGCGGGATGACAGCTGCTGGGTGCTTGTGGGACTGACTGTCTGTCTTGGGGCATGGGAGACACTACTCCAGGCCTGGCTGCTAAGCTACTGTGTTACCAGTTACCAGTCAATCATGATTCACTCAGGGACCAGCTCAATATACAGGACCTAGCTGATGTAGCCAGTTAATTGCCATCAATTAGCACCTACAAAACCAGGCTAAGGAGAGGAAAGAATCAATACAGGCAATCAACTGCCCCAAGACAGACACAGTCAGTCCCACAACCACCCATGGCACGCACCCATGGCACGAGTTTTGCCTGTCAGCAGCTAGGGGTGCAGGGCCCCAGAGCCCCCCTGCACCGATCTCCTCCACAGCTGGCAGGCGTCACAGCAGGGGCCACCATCCCTGCAGCTGTCACCCGCTGTGCCTTAGCACACGCAGTGTCACCCATGGCACGAGTTTTGCTTGTCCCAGCTTGAGGGACAGTTCCCCCCAAACCCCTGCACTGATCTTCTTGAAACTTGGCAGGCTTTGTGGCCTCACCAGGGGCCACCACCCCTGCAGTTTTCATCCCCTGTGGTTTGACACACAGCCGTGACATGAGTTTGGCTTTCAAGAGTTTGGGGTACAGTTCCCCACAAACCCCTGTACCAATCTTCTTGAAACTTGGCAGGTTTTATGCTGTCAGCAGAAGCTACCATCCCTGCGTGTTTCATCCAAAATGGACAAAAAACAACAAAGTTATAGATATTTCATTGATCCCCCCATTATATCCTGTGGCCGGATCTTCGAGGTGGCTCCAAAGCTTCGGCTGGATCGAGGTGGAAACCCAGTCTGAAGCTCCAGATCAGATCGTGGCCATCCGAAGCGGCCAGATCTGAAGCCAGATCAGATCGCTGCTGACTCACACAGGCCTACCACACACACTCTTCTTTCCACCCCCCAGAAAAAAAATCCCTTGAGCAGGTATTGGAGCTCACAAAATTGGAGTGTCTTAAGCATGGAAGCTGATTTTTTCTCTCTCTCTCTGTCTCTCCCTCCCCTCCCCTCCCCCTTTCCTTGCTGGAACAGAATCATGTACACACTGTACTGTAATGGCTGCCAAAATGGCTGAATCCAGGATACATTGTAACCTATAGTAAACTCAAGCTCATTTCACCGAATGGTGTGAAAGGACACACACAGAGCAGTTTATATTGTAAAAGCTACTTTTATATAGCTCCTTTTATCCCCAAAGATCCAATATTGCTCTGCATAATTTGCAAACTAAATACAGAAATGACTTCACCCACTTACAAAATGCAGCTGCCTCCAGGGCAGCTGTTTTGATAACATACAGCAATACAGGACAAGGAGTATGTGTGTCCAGTTGTGGCTAGGAAGGGGCTTTCAAAACTTGGATTACAAGCCCCTGTGTAAAATTCTGGTCGTGACTCCAAAGTAGTGGTGTAATGTGCTTTAGGAGGAAAAGGGGTTGGACTAGACGACTTCCTGAGGTCCTTTCCAACCCTAATTTTCTATGATTCTATGAAAGCATCAGCCCAGATGTTCAACCTTTGGTAGGCTGGAACTGCAGTGTTACCTAGAACTGGCTAGCATTTTTCAGACAAAACAAACTTTTGTTGGAAAGTGCCCATTTGCTGAGTTATGGTTTATCTGAAACCTGGCAGGTTTGGCACATTTTTATTGGATTCAAGACAACGTGCTGAGGGATTCCTCTTGGGGTCTGTGGCTCCAGGGCAAACCCACAAAGTACCAGCTGTCCATGGAGCAATCTACCTAGCAGCACTCTTGGATCTGCTGTTCTGGGATGGATCTGCTGAGCTCAGCCTCCAGCACTTCATGGCTTGGGGACAGATGGGTATGACAGGGTTTCTGTTGTGGACTTGGGAGTATGAAAGTCCTGGGGGCCTGGCTACATTATGTGGCCCTTGTCATTATAATAACTCTGTTGGTAGAGCCTCTGTGGTGTGTACTGCATGCCAGCAGGAGAGGGTTTTTTTCTTTGTTTGTTTTTTTCTGCCACTTTAGCTATATTACCTTCCTGAATGCCACAATATGAGCTGGCAGAAGTGGCTGTCTTCCATACCTGGGGTTTTGCTGGCACAGCTGTCAACTGGAGGTGTGTGATCTTTTCATGGCACTAGGTGATATAGCAATGCCAGAAAAACTGGGTAGCATAGACTAGATCTGGGACAGAAGTGAGTCTGAAAACTCTGAGATTGTTCAAGTGGATTCCTGCATCAGAGCTAAGACTCAGGGCCTGGAAGTCTTGGGATGTGCTCCCAGGGTCTGTAATTTCAGTGTGGTCTGCAGAATAGGCCAACAAGGGAGCCACAGATCTTATTAACTTCCTTGAGCAGCTACTGAGGATGAAGAATATCAGCTGCAGGGTTGGGGAGCATGTCTGATGAAGAGAGGGAAGAGCGTCTTCATGGACAGGCCTGCTAATCTATTGAGGAGAGCTTTAAACTAGGTTCACTGGGGGATGGAGACCAAAGCCCCAAGGGAAGTGGGAGACCTAGAGGAAGTGGAAGCAGGAAGGGGCCACAGGAGAGGTACTCTCATGCTTCCTGAGAAATCAGGGCAATCATTTAGTTATCTCAGGTGCTTGTACACAAATGCACAGAGCCTGGGAAACAAGCAGGAAGAACTGGAAGTCCTTGCACAGTTGAGGGACTATGATGTGATTGGAATAACAGAGACTTGGTGGGATACTCGCATGAGTGGAGCACTGTCATGGGTGGGTACAAACTGTTCAGAAAGGACAGGCAGGGGAGAAGAGGAGGAGGAGTTGTACTTTATGTAAAAGAGCCATATGATTGCTCAGATCTCCAGTATGAAGCTGGAGACAGGCCTATTGAGTGTCTCTGGGTTAGGGTCAGAGGGGAGGGCAACAAGGGTGATGTTGTGGTGGGGGTCTGCTATAGACCACCAGACCAGGAGGAAGCTAGTAAAAGTTTCCTGATCACCGGCCCTGGTTCTCATGGGGGACTTCAATCCCCCTGACATCTGCTGGGAGGGCATTACAGCAGTGCTCAGGCAATCCAGGAAGTTTTTGGAGAGTGTTGGGGGCAACTTCCTGGTGCAAGAGCTGGAGCAGCTGACTAGGGGCCATACTCTTCTTGACCTGCTGCTCGCAAACAGGGAAGAATTGGTGGGGAATGTAGTAGTGGATGGCAACTTGGGCAGCAGTGACCATGAGATGATTGAGTTCAGGATCCTGAGGAACGGAAGGATGGAGAGCAGCTGGGTAAGGACCCTGGACTTCAGAAAAGCAGACTGTGACTCGCTCAGGGAACTCATGGGCAGGATCCCCTGGGAAGCCAGTCTGAGGGGGAGAGGAGTCCAGGACAGCTGGCTGTACTTTAAAGAAGTCTTACTGAGACTGCAGGAACAAACAGTCCCAATGTGTAGGAAGACTAGCAAGTGTGGCAGAAGACCAGCTTGGCTTACAGATAACTTTTCAGTAAACTAAATCACAAAAAGGAAGCTTATAAGAAGTGGAAACATGGACAAATAACTAGGGAGGAGTACAAGAGCATTGTTTGGGCATGCAGGAATAAAGTCAGGAAGGCCACTGTGTAATTGGAAATGCAGCTAGCAAGGTATGTGAAGGTAACAAGAAGGGTTTCTACAAGTATGTCGGTAGCAAGAGGAGGATCAGGGAAAGTGTGGGTCCCTTACTGAATGGGGGAGGCAACCTTGTGACAGAGGATGCAGAAAAGGCTGAAGTGCT